CCGACTAGAACCACGCGCGCTTCGCGCGCTTAGGTTCTAGCCAGGAGGCGAGCTTGAGTCAACGAAAGTCGCAGGGAAGGGGGCAGGGGGAAGAAGGCCAGAGAGCGCTGAAGGATACAAATACTGGAACCCTCTTGTGATTTTGTGGGGGGCCTCGTCCGGCCGCTCGCTGGGAGTTTGACGTAGCTTCTCGGGAGCCTCTGAACCTGTCGGGGGCCTCCTGGAAGCAGGTTCGAAGCATTTTGGGGGCCGATTTGGGGCTTCTCGGGGCCTCCTTTGGGCCTCTTGGGGGTCTCCTGGGGCCTCTTGAGGGGCCTCCTTGGGGCCTCCTGGCGGCCTCTTGGGGCGGAAGGCTCGAGCTTGCGGTTCGTGGTCCCCCTCTGGGCCCCCTCTTGGGCCCGTATTGGGGCCCTCTTGGGCGCCTCTTGGGCCGTCTTGGGGCCCTCTTGGGCTGTCCCGGGGCCCTCTTGGAAGCTTCTTGGGCCGTCTTGGGGCGGTCTTGGAGGCCTCTTGGGCCGTCTTGGACGCGGTGAAAGCCCTAGATGCGAACATGCGAAAAATATACGTTTTCCAATAGGAATGGCACGATTTTTGTTTCTTGGACCTCTCTTGGGGTGCCTCTCGGAACGTCTTGGGCTGATTTTGGGAAGCCTTTTGGCGCCTCTGGGCGGCGTTTTGGCGCCTCCTGGGATATGTTGGGCCGGAAGCTCGGAATTCGAGAGTGGCTTTCTCCTTCTGGGACCCCTCTCGAAGTCGTCTTGGGGTTCTCTTGGGCCGTCTTGGGGCCGTCCTGAGCCACTCGTGCGCAGCCTTGGAGCGCTCCCGGAGGCCTCCTAGGCCGTCTTGGAGGCCTCTTGGGCCGTCTTGGACGCGGTGAAAGCCCAAGATGCGAACATGCGAAAAATATACGTTTTCCCATAGGAATGGCACGATTTTTGTTTCTTGGACCTCTCTTGGGGTGCCTCTCGGAACGTCTTGGGGTGCTTTTGGGAGCCTTTTGGCGCCTCTTGGCGGCATTTTGGCGCCTCCTGGAGCCTCTTGGGCCGGAAGCTCGGAATTCGAGGTTGGCTTTCTCCGTCTGGGACCCCTCTCGAACTCGTCTTGGGGCTCTCTTCGGCCGTCTTGGGGCCGTCCTGGGCCACTCGTGCGCAGCCTTGGAGCGCTCCCGGAGGCCTCGTAGACCGTCTTGGGCGCCTCTTGGGCCGTCTTGGACGCGGTGAAAGCCCAAGAGGCGAACATGCGAAAAATATACGTTTTCCAATAGGAATGACACGATTTTTGCTTTTTGGGCCTCTCTTGGGCTGCCTCTCGGAGCGTCTTGGAGGCTTCTGGGACCTTCTTGGTGTCATGACAGGCGTCTTGGAAGGCATCTGGAGCCATCGGAGCGCGTTCCGAAGCCGCCTGCGAACGATCTTGGACGGCGTCCGGCGGTCCGACGAGCCTCCGGGCCCCCCGGGGCCCACATTTGTGGTCGAGGTCCCGGCCCCGGGCCCCCGGACCCGGTGCGCCGTTATGTATAATATCTTAAAAAGCTCTAGGTAGTCTTTCTCTGAAACCGACGTCGAACTTCAAAATTAAGAAAGATACGGCAGTAAGTGATATTCCCTTGCTCGTCATATTGTTTGGCAGTCCCTCCATCATCAATAGTGCTCAAGCATGTTGTGCGAAAAATCCGTCGAGTTGCTCTGCAGCACGATCCGATAAGAGCCAAGTTTCCCCTCCCGATAGACGCGCGTTGACGACAACCCCCTGGAACACCGTCGTTTTTTTTTCCTGTTCTAAGGGCACGGCTAGTCCAGAACTTACCCAACGCATTCCACCCCAGACGAGCCGCTTCCTATCTTTTTGTTGAGTTCCCAGGTCTCGTGTCCGGCGAAGTGGTGCCAAGCTCCAAGATGCCTCAGACAGACTTCAGGGTTCCCGTCGAAGGTCAGGTCCGTGAGTTTGTGGAACTGCTGCATTTTCTGATGGGACCCTCGACCGCATGCCTGGAAAAAAGATCTTTTGTTGTCAGTATTATGCTTGGGTCCCGTCGGCTCGCTGACACGTGCAGCAAGTGCTTCATTCCACTCCTCAACGCAGGAGCTCGCCATCTTCGCATCCTCGCTCAAACCCATACGGAACAAATCATACGCATACGCACCGTGACCGAAATTGACCATCGTTTGGGTGATCGGTTCCAGCACGTGAAAGAATTTGCGGTTCTCCTCCGTCTCCGCCGCGGCGATCCATCTATCCACACACGGGCCCAGTACATTGTTGAACTTGTCGGGAGCAGTAGCACCGCAGCCAAAAGACATCAGTGCCCAGTCGCCTGAGTCCGCTCTGAGGAAGCAGAAGGCACGCGCGTGCCTCTGCAATAGTAGCTCCGCATCACCTCGTGGTAGTGCAGATCGAACAACTTCGCTTAGCGCTGCATGATCCACGGAAGCAAAAGCGTTGGCCTGATCAAAGCACGGGCCTACACAAGCAAGAGTATGCTGTGACATATGCCACCTAACGACCTTCACCTGCAATACAGTCTGTTCGCGTCGCCGTCGAGGTCTGAATCCAGTGGAGTTATCTGAAACGTACGCCGTCCGTCGTGCCCATCAGAGTTGCCCAACAGACGCCTTGCCACTAAGATGCAGTAGATGTACCACTCGTTTTGCTTTGCATTTCTCCCTCTGGCTCCTTTGCTGCATTCGGCATCCTGAGCTGACTGCCCTTATCTGTGGCATATGATTCTTATATCGGAAAAGATAGAAACGTTGTTGGAACCGTTGCTGAAAAGGTCCTTTCCGCTCACAGTGCCGCGGCTTCACAAGAGAGAGAGAAGCCAGGCTTCTCGAGGAGCTGACCAAAGTGGAACTGCTCATCGTGCTTTGGCCTCGCGAAGCTTATGAAGTACACCGTGATAGGCTTCCTGTGCTCGAACGTAGTAGGGTCGCCCGTCTGCATCATTGACCTGCGGATCGTATGAAGCGAACGCCTGATCTGAAACCGATAGCTCCGTCGCCGGGTTGCCGCCGAGAGTATCAGAGAGGTTGCCGGCAGAGATCGAGTTATCCCGCACCTCGCGTCCACAAGCACAAGGTGGGTCTGTTGTCTCCACTCCCACCCCGTCTGTAGCACCTGCAGCGTCATCTGCAGTGTCATCTTCTGGTCGTGGAGCACGTATCCGATCTGCAAAGTGGTTGGTGTACTCCATGCACTCTACGTCACTGGTCGGGATCCGCATCACTTGAGATAAAACCTGAGGGTCAACTTCGTGTCCGCCAGTGCAGATAGGAACTGCTTGCATTCCGCCGTAGGCGGAGGAGGCGGAGGAGCCGGAGGAGGAAAAGGAGGCGGAGGAGGAGGAAGAGGAGGAGATCCTGCGACCCCGTCTGTCTCGGCCCCGTCTGGGAGGCCCGAAGCAGGAGGCGGAGGAGGAGCAGATGGCGGAGGAGGAGGCGGAGGAGGCAGAGGAGGAGGCGGAGGAGGAGGAGGCGGAGGAGGAAAAGGAGGAGAAAGCAGGAGGCGGAGGAGGAGGAGGAATAGGAGGCGGAGGAGGTGGAGGAGGCGGAGGAGGAGGAGGAAGAGGAGGAGGCGGAGCAGGAGGAGGAGGAGGAAGAGAGGCTGCTGCCCCGTCTGTCTCGGCCCCGTCCGGGAGAGGCCCGACGGAGGAGTGCGCGGCGAGCCGCCCACGAGGCGGGCACGGCACGCCCTCGCTTTGGGGGGGCCTCTCTGGAGCCCGTGGACCCTGAAGGCGCCCTTAGCGGGCCGGCCGACGAAGAGGTGCCCGTACAGGAGCCAGCTCACCAGACCCCCTCGCGCTGGGAAACAATCACGACGCGAGGCTTCTCGCCATTCTCCGCCGCCATGGGGGACCTCCCCAGGCCTCGGGATCGTCAGAGAGAACGGCACAGGATAAAAAAAACGGTCCAGGGGAGGGGGTCGAGACCTCTGGGGGTCGACGCTGCGAAAAAATCACGGCGTCGGGGGTCTGGGTCGCAATGGCAGGGGAGGAGGAGGAGGAGGAGGAGGAGGAGGAGGAGGGGAGGAGGACGAGGAGGAGGAGGAGGAGGAGGAGGAGGGGGAGGAGGAGGAGGGGGAGGAGGGGGAGGACGAGGGGGGGAGGAGGGGGAGGAGGAGGAGGAGGAGGAGGAGGGAGGAGGAGGAGGAGGAGGAGGAGGAGGAGGAGGAGGAAAAGGAGGAGGGAGGAGGAGGAGGAGGAGGAGGGAGGAGGGGGGGGGGGAGGGGGGAGAGGGAGGGGGAGGAGGAGGAGAAGGAGGAGGAGGAGGAGGAGGAGGAGGAGGAGGAGGAGGAGGAGGAGGAGGGGGAGGGGGAGGAGGGAGGGAGGAGAGGAGGAGGGAGGGAGGAGGAGGGGGGGGGGGAGGGACAAGCTAGGTGCGCTCGCGTCATATCTGACATCCTACCCCTCCCTCCCATCCCTTACCATGGCGCAGATCCCCTCTCTACTCGCACAGTCGGATGTCGAGCAGGGCAATGATCCCGAAAGGGTACGTGATGCATTGTAGAGCACGGCGTGGCATGGCGTAGAAGAGCACCGCAAAGCGTAGTATCAACCTAGCATTGCATTGCATGCCGTGGCATGGCACGGGAAATGACGCCAGCGCTGCAGCGGGAGCACGAGTCCAAACGAGCGGAAGCGCGGAAATGAGGCCAGCGCTGCAGCGGGAGCACGATTCGGAACGAGCGGAAGCACGCCGGAATCGGCCCTGGAGGCTTCCCGGGCGCCAGAAGCAGGAATTCAGCATTTTCAAAAGAAATATGTGTATTGGAATGGCCTTTTTTCGGCGCCGCCTCGGAACTCGATTTTCCCGCGCCGTGCCACCGGTGGCGTGCACCAGAGCTTGCCTGGAGGGACAACAAAAAATAAATGCTCTCCCTGGGGGGGCCGGTCGCCCCCCGCGACGCCTCCGAGAGGGCGGCCGCGCGGGGCTGGCCCGCCGGGGCCAGCCCCGCGCGGTCGTGCAGCCTCGGGGGCCGGCCCGTGCGCGGCGCGGGGGCCCTGCCGTCTGGTCGTCGAGGCCCTCTGGCCAGGTCTCCTCTCGGGGGCGGCCAAGGGGGGGGCGTCCAAGAGAGGGGGGGGGTGCAATATGGAAACGAACTCTATACACCGACGCTTTTCCCGGCCCTGCGCTGAAATTCGCACAGGAACGCGGATTCTGGTGTATACGGAACCCTGGTGTATATATTTTTCGTTGCTTCCGCGGGACATCGGGGAAAAAAGCATACACCACACCACCCCAGCGTCGTCCCCGACCCTACAAAAATCCTGGGACTGAAAAACAACCCGCCACTGGTAGTGTAGATGTTCCAGGTTCCGATGCAGATCATGACCGGCGGCACGTGCGCGGCCCAGGGGGGGGGGGGGCTGGGGACTTGACAAAAGGAGAAGAGGCGCCGTGAAATCTGGGGAGATGTCGTGGCACCCGCCATGAACGAAGGGTTTTTGTTGCAATCCCTCGGTTCTTTTTGCAATCCTTCGTTTGTTTGCAATCCTTTTTTTTGCAACCCTTCGTTTTTTTGCAATCCTTCGTTTTTTTGCCTTCGTTTTTTTTGCAATCCTTCGTTTTTTTGCAATCCTTCGTTTTTTTTGCAATCCACCCCCCCCAGTCATCACCCCCTTCTTGGCCGCCCCCGATCTCCTCGGCCTCCCACTGGTGCCTCGCCTCGATCCAGCCGGGGAGCGGCGCGAGCCGAGGGTTCTTCTGGAAGACGACGCAGCTCGGGTTGAGCATGGCGGGGGCCCAGGAGAAGCTGCTCCTCGCGAGGACGACGAGGTCGGCGCGGGCGAAGTACCTCCGAGGGTTCTCGAGGAGGCGCGGGGGAGGAGGAGGAGGAGGAGGAGGAGGAGGAGGAGGAGGAGGAGGAGGAGGAGGAGGAGGAAAAGGAAAAGGAGGAGGAGGAGGAGAAGGAAGAGGAGGAGGAGGAAGAAGAGGAGAAGGAGGAGGAGGAGGAGGAGGTGGAGCAGGAAAGGGCGACGAGAGGACGAAGCGGAGGAGGCGGAGGAAGACCTGGAGGCAGGAGGATCGAGAGAAGCGGGAGGTTGCAGACCAGGAGGGGCAAGAGGAGCGGGAGGAGGGAACAACAAGGGAGTTTGGAGAGAAAGATGGAGGGAGAAAGATAGAGAGAGAGAGAGAGAGAGCAACAAAGAGAGAGCGAGAGAGAGAGGACAAACAACACAACATACGTAGCACCCCGCAATTGCGGATAGGGAAGAGGGGGCGGGCGCGGACGACGCGGGCGTCGAGCCCGCGGACCGCCGCAGGCGCCGAATTTTTCGCTTAATCAATAAACGTAGTTTGGGTCGCGGGTGGGTCGCGGGCTCTCCACCTCCACCTCGAAGGAATTCAAAAAAACAGCCCGCCGCAGGCGCCGAAAATTTTGATTTGTACACTGAACGCGGTTTGGGTCGCAGGTTCTCCACCTGGGACGAATGCAAAAAAAAACGCAGCAGGCGCCGAAGTTTTGGCTTGTGCAGTGAACGTAGTTTGGGTCGCGGGTGCGTCGTGGGCTCTCCACCTCCACCTGGAAGGAATTCAAAAAAACAGCCCGCCGCAGGCGCCGAAAATTTTGATTTGTACACTGAACGCGGTTTGGGTCGCGGGTGGGTCGCAGGTTCTCCACCTGGAACGAATGCAAAAGAAGCCCGCCGCAGGCGCAGAAAATTTTGGGTGGGTCGCGGGGTGGGTCGCGGGTGGGTCGCGGTGGGTCGCGGGTGGGTCGCGGGCGCGGTTTGGGTCGCGGGTGGGTCGCAGGTATTCCACCTGGAACGAAGGCAAAAGAAACCCGCCGCAGGCGCAGAAAATTTTGGGTGGGTCGCGGGGTGGGTCGCCGGTGGGTCGCGGGTGGGTCGCGGTGGGTCGCGGGTGGGTCGCGGGTGGGTCGTGGGTGGGTCTCGGGGTGGGCCGCGGGCGGGTCGCGGGGTGGGTCGCGGGTGGGTCGCGGGGTGGGTCGCGCGTGGGTCGCGGGGTGGGTCGCGGGCGGGTCGCGGGGCGGGTCGCGGGTGGGACGACGACAACAACAAACAACAAACAACAAACAACAAACACGACAACAACAACAACAACAACAACAACAATAACCACAAACACAACAACAACAACAACAACAACAACAACAGAAAGCAGACAACAGACAACAGACAACCGACAACAGACAACAGACAACAGACGACAATAACAACAACAACAACAACAACAACAACAACAACAACAAATACAACAACAACAACAACAACCACAACAACAACAACAACAAACAAACAAACAAACAAACAAACAAACAACAACAAGAACAACAAGAACAACAACAACAACAACAACAACAATCATTTAAGACTGGGGACACTCCGTTCTCACCAGTGCCAGGGTTTTCATAGGAGGCGGGCAATACCCCCACTTTGTGGGGGGGCCGGTTCAAGCTCTACCAAATTTCCAAACGACTCTTCGCCACCACCCACACCCAGCTTCCCGCCCTATGACGTTCGGACACTTCACTTCGTGGCATGCGGACGACCGTGGCTACTATTCAGGGCCCCGCGGCCGACGACGACGGCGTGCGCGCGCGAAGAAAAAACGAATGTGTCCAATATGGTATTATTTGACAGGGATGATGGCCCTGGCATGCGCGCAACCGTTGTTGCAGAAGTTCGAAGCACGTGAAAAAGTTGCTCGCAAGAGCCCGTTTGACAGAAATGTTGAAAAAATATTGGGTTTCCTCAGAAATCCGCAAGAGCGCGCAAGATGAATTTTTGAAACTTTTGTTTTGAAAAACCATTGGGTTTTTCATGTTTTTATGTTAAAATCGCTACGAAAACTAAGGTTTTGGAAGGATTTCATCTTGCGCGCGCGAGTGTGCACTTCGTGTCATTTGTTTCAAAGGATTCTTGAAGTTTGGTTATGTTAGAACAAGAAATTCATTTTATAGTGTTTTTTTGCAAGGGAAAACGGGGGACAACAAAACAACCGGATCCGGACACCCACGTTTTGCCTGAGACTTCCTCACGAAAATGATGAAAATGTGGCTGCGGCCTAGGCGCGGCGAGGGGGCCGCGCACCAGGGGTCCCAACAATAATTATTCTTTAGAATAAATAATGTTCAACAACAACAACAACAACAACAACAACAACAACAACAACAACAACAACAACAACAACAACAACAACAACAACAACAACAACAACAAGAATCCGCATCGTGGAATTCCATTTCAGCCACGCACCCAGGGACAGTGAATGACCGTTCGGTTCAGCCCCCTCATTCTGATATATATATATATATATATATATATATATATACACATACATATATACATGTTCATATAGAGCATCGAACATAGCATATAACATTTAACGTGAGAGAGAGGGAGAGGGAGAGCGAAAGAGAGATAGAGAGACAGAGAAATATGTATAGAAAAACAATGCGGAGGAGAAGGAAGAGGAGGAGGAGGAGGAGGAGGAGGCGGAACAGGAGGAGAGGGAGGAGGAGCAGGAGGAGGAGGAGGAGGAGGAGGAGGAGGAGGAGAGGGAGGAGGAGGAGGACGAGGAGGAGGAGGAGGAGGAGGGCGATGGGGCCCCAACCGCGGTCCCCCCGGGGGACCGCCGCGTGGCGGGCCGGCCCCAGCCCGCGGGCCGACAGCGGCCAGGCGGGCGCATCCGTCATGACATCTCTGGCCTCGCCGAATGCGGCCCCACCTCGGGACTCCAAGAACTGAGACCCTTTGTGTGGTGGCGGTGACCGAGGAGCCCGCGTCGCGGGCCGAGAGAGGACAGCTGAGACTGAAGCGAATGGCGGTACAACAGGCTCTGGTTGCCACGTCCGACCCGTGTGCCCAAATTGGGCTGCAGCCACACCTGCACCGGACCCGTGGGGCAGATCCGGAACCTTCAATGCCTTTGCTCCGAGAGTTAGCGGCAGCAGTACGCTGGATCAAATCTGACGTACAGACGATACGACAATCAACTGGCCCAGGACTCAATAGGAGTGCTCCAGAGTTCGTCCACAGTCTCCTGCAGTATTGGACGGAAGCCAGCATAGCGCCAGACGTCATCATCTACGATACTAGCTGCGAGAAAAGCCAACGGCAGCAGACCACAAGCATATAGACAAACTTGAAAACAACACTACAGACAGCAGATGTAAAGACAACGCAGCAACCCCTGACTTTCTTGTCCTGCAAAGGGGGGACGTAGTGGCGCATCAGGAGGTGGCTCAGGAAATAATGCATCAAGGAGGGAGCAGGCGTCAGGATTGCGCTGACAAGCACGAGCCCGATACCATCAACTACGAGACTGGCCCAGCGAAGCACGAAACCCACGCCGTCCGTTACGAGGGTGGTGTCGAGAAGCACGAACCCGACGGCGACAGTTACGAGGGACGTGAGGCGAAGCACCAACCCAACGTCGTCAGCTACGGGGGAGGCCACACGAAACGCGAGCCCGACAATAGCAGCTAGTACAACGAAGCACGATTCCGATGTCATCAGCTATGACGATGGGACCGCGAAGAACGAGCCCGACGTCATCAGCTGCAGTGTTGGGGTCAGTCCCCTCGTGCGAGAAGGCCCAGCAGTGGTGCGAGAAGGGCGGGCAGTGGGGCGAGAAGGGCGGGCAGTGGTGCGAGACAGACGGGCAGTGGTGCGAGAAGGGGCGGGCAGTGGTGCAACATGGGCCGGCAATGGTGCGAGAAGGACCGGCAGCGACGCGAGTAGGGCCGGGAGCGGTGCGAGAAGGGCCAGTAATGGTGCCAAAGGGCAAGCAGGTGGGGCAGTGGCGGCAGTGGTGCGTGAGGGGCTGGCAGTGGTGCGAGAAGGAGCGGCAGTGGTGCGAGACGGGCAGGCAGTGGTGCGAGAAGGGCCAGCAGTGGTGCTAGAAGTGAAGGCAGGTGGGGCAGTGGCGGCAGAGGTCGGTTTACGAGGTGGAGGAGGGTAGGAGGAAGCAGGGGAAGTGGGGCGAAGCACGAGCCCAACGTCGTCAGCTACGGGGGAGGTCACACGAAGCACGAGCCCCACGCCATCAGCCATGAGGCTGGTACACCGAAGAACGAGCCCGATGTCATCGCCCACAACGGTGGTGTGGCAGCGAAGCACGAGCCCGACGTCTTCAGCTGCAGCGCTGGGGCCGGTCCGGTGCCCTCGTGCGAGAGGGCCAAGCGGTGGTGCGAGAGAAGGGCCGGCAGTGGTGCGTGAGGGGCGGGCAGGTGGTGCGAGGGTGGCGGGCGCTGGCGCGAGAAGGGCGGGCACGCGGCGCGAGCCGGGGCGGCAGCGGTGCGAGGAGTGCCAGCCGGTGGGGCAGGAGGCCGCGGAGGTCGGATGCAAGACGCCACCAGCTGCAGCGCGGCACGCGGAGCGCCGTGTCCATACCATTTCCAGTGGCCTTGCAGGCTTGCGCATCGCCCGCTTGCTTGATCGTCCAGGCTACGCAGACACCACGAGGGGCAGAAGAGAAGCCGAGGAGGAGAGGGAGCAGGGGATGTCTGACAGCGACTCGGGAGACGTTAGGATCCACGAGCTGATCGACACGGCGTAAAAGGCATTCATAGCACGACGGCCCGACGTGGCACTCTGGGAACTTCAGCAGATTCACAAAACCACTCCATACGCCATTCGGCATCCTGGTACCCAGCACCTACACGACAGCATCGCTATCTGCCTCAAAGACGAGCAGTGCTACGAGCTGGTGGAGGAACAAAGGCATATATATATACATATATTCACTAGAAACACGCGCGCGCAAGGTTACATCGCCACTGAAGCAGTTACCCACGAATGGTTGAAACATGGGGTAGAATGCATCTATAACGAGGGCAGAGCAGATACAAATTGACGACAAGGACATGTGCACAGTATTCCACACGAAGCTATTCACACCAGTGAAAGCTATGGAGTGACCAAAACAGCAGCGCAGCGCAACGCATTGCCATGGAATCGAACCAGGTGCGGGTCAAATGCGGTTCGACGCATGGCAAGCACAAATGCACAGCAATGCAATGTAATGCAAATCAAATCAAAGTAGAGCAGTGCTCACCAGTGCAATCTGGATCACGAAGCAACACAATTGCACATGCAACGGAAAGCAACCTAGCGGAAAGCAACCTAGCGGAATAGAATGCAACCCAGCGGAATAGAAAGCAACAGGAACTCCGAGATCCCAGGGACGAGCCGCCCTAGAAAGAGCCCAAGAACATCCAAGGGGAGCCCAAGGCAGGGCCAAAGGACACCCAAGAACATCCAGAGAGTTCCCCGAGAGAGGCCCCCAAGGGGGGGCCCAAGCGCGGCCCCAAGGAGCTCCAAGCAGGCTCCAGAACAGGGCACAAGAGTGACCCAAGAGGCGCCACAAGAAGAACAGAAAATGGCGTCAGAAAGAAAGGACCCAAGGAAGCGCCCCCTCAGCCGTAAAAGGAAGCCGCGAGGGCTCACGAGCAACCCCAAGAGTGGCGTCAAGGGTGCCGCAAGGGGATGCCGAAGTAGGCTCCAAGAAGCCCCTTATTGGCCTGGCAGGGGTGGAGCCTGGCGCGCGCGGCACCAAGCTCGCACCGAAACGCCCGGGGCGAAACGAAGGCAGCGGTGGCGCCGCGATGATGGCAGCGACACAAGGCGCACCCCAGGCTCTAGCAAGCCGCAGCCCTTGGCTGAAGTAATGACTCACACATGGTTTGATCTCGAGGTGAAAGAATACAAATCGCGCGGATCACATAGCATCGCCCCACCAGTAGCGGCACACCCCTCACACGGATCGCGCCCCCGCCCCGGGAGCCCCACTTACAGTGCCAGGGACAAAATTCGCACGCGTCCCTCCGCCCATCTTGGCACACCCCTCACACGGATAGTGCCCCAGGAGGATGCAGTTCCACGTGCTGCCCGAGAGGGAAGGTCGCGTAGCGTTCCCCCTCTGAGTTCGACTCACTCCTCACACGGATCGTGCCCAAAAAACCGACGGCCGCAGAGGCAGGGCTCGCGTCCCACCGTCCCACCCATGTCGGCACACTCCTGACATGGATCATTAGCTCAGGGCGTCTGATGGGCGTCTTGGACGGCTCTCGTGGGCTCGCGGCGTGATCTCAAAGACCTCTTGAAGCCTCTGCAAGGCCTCTTGGGGACCTCTCGGCGTCTCTTCGGGGCCACTCGGGAGATGATTTGGGTTTCTTGAGATCATTGGGGGCCGCCTGGACGGTCTCGGGGGAATGTTAGGAGCCACACCCTCCAAGATACTGCCCCACGACCCCTCCTGGTACCCTCGTGGGGCCCTCTTGGGCCTCGCGTGGGGCCCTCTCGGGGCTCTCTTGGGGCGTCTTGGGCGCCCTTGGGCCCGTCTAGACGTATCTTAATTGACCGGGTCATGCATGCGGCTGCAGGAACGCCAACGATATGATGAGCGTGGTAAAAGAACACCTCGTACCTATATATATACGAATACTGATGTATACATATACAGATACACGCACACACAAGCACACACACACAGCCGTGGGAGGAGAAGGAGCAGGAGATGTCTGACAGCGACGCGGGG